TATCCCTTTAGTATGTTGGTCCTTTCTTGGACATTTATTTTAACATCAAGATCAGCTGACTAATTCTGTGCCTAACGTACACCCATTGTTGTTAACTGCTTTTATATGGTTCCAGTGTAAGTTCTCGTTCTACCTGCAGAATTACGGAAAGTAAGCTACTTCAACAAGACATATAACGAATCACCATCCTGTTTTTGGCACTGTGCTATGTGATAGAGGTACAAATGTAAATGACACACTTGTGATTCTTCTGTCATGGAACTCAGGAAGACACAATTGAGCATGTAATAAAAACAAGGTATTGCTGTATTAACAGAGGATGAGAAACCTACCTTTAGATGGAGTGGACAGAAAGATTAACAGAGGTGGTAGTTTCAGCTTATACCTAAGTGAGGAGCAGCAAGCCAGCAGAACAGAAGGAAAGTCTTCCTCTTCCAGCAAGGGGAATTTGGTGTGGAGTAGAGGAGGTGGGGCAGGGGGATGAGATGAGGTTTGAGAAGAAGTGGAGAATGGATTATGCAGAACCTTTTCAATGATGCCAAGATACCTGGATTGTATGCTAAATAAAATGTAAAGTTTTAAGAATGGAGAACATAATCAGTTCAGGTTCAATTAATGCTTTGCATCAGGCATGTGGACCATAAGGAATAAGGAGCCAGCAAACCTTGACGGGGTAAAATACCCCTGGCTGAGGGCAAATTCTCATCACATTCTAATTGGAGCAAGGGTTGCTGGCAGAAACATCTCTCTCCAAATAAGGTTACATCCTAAGGCGCTGGTGGTTAGGACTCCAACAGCTATCTTTTGGGCGGGGCAGGGGGAGCACACAATTCAACCCTAACACCTTAAAATGCAAAGTCAAACATTAGCATCTGAACTCTGGGATTAAATGTATGTCAAATAAGAGATACCAGAAACAAAAAATGTCCCCTATTTCATGCTTGCTGATTGAATTTGACAAGTAAAAAAAAGTCTGAAGATTTGGGTTTTTGTTACTCTCTGATGAAATGAGTTACTTGAAACAGCTGCATATACAGTTTATCTGTAGCCAATGGCTAAATTTTTTTATTCAATTGGTTAGAACAATTCTGTAGAAACTGCTAGCAAATTAGAACTCTTCCACACTTCCTCTTCTAAAGAAAACTTTTTACAAGAACCAGATCTCATGTCTAAAATGTACCTTTGTAGTTGATGAGAATTACAAGAATTCTTTCACATACCTTGTTGTTGACATAAAGCACTCGTCCTTTAAAAAAAAATCTTACACTAAAAATAAAATTTACAAATGGGTTTTGTATGAATTTACCTTTTGCTCTGTATATAGAATTAACTCTTAAAAATTTCACCAGGTGGAGGTTATCTGCCACCAAAGAGGTAATTGTACAAAAAATTGGGTCACTACTTCATTAAAATCAGAATAACTGATAACAGCAAAACTGAGATTTAGAGAATGGGTATTCTGGTTTACTAGAATTTTAAAGAAATTGAGTGCAAACAGTAATTGCTTTTTGTTTACCCCTTGTTGCTTGGTACATTTTCATACTTATTAAAAACTCATGATGATGAGTGATGCCCTGCATTATTTGACGTACATTCTAGCAATCCACTGTCTAGTGCTAAGTTACACCCTTCCTACAAATTACTTCTGAATGAACAAATCCCTTACTTGGACTTACGATTTTCATTTTGAATGTGGCCTCAATCCTCAATCCCAAACACCCCACTAATTTTAGAATTCCATGAGTTTCTTTGATCAGAGTAGACAGAAATCTGAAAACTTTTTATACATCTTATTCCTTATAAAGTTTTCAAGCATAATTTAAAAGTCATCTGTTTTCTAGCCATCATAAATAAGAACTTGATATTTAATTGGCCACAATGTCTTCCTTTAGATAATAAGGTCCTGAAGCTATTTTACATGAAAATAATAGCAAACACAAACAGCACTTACTATGCCAGAGGCCTTTCTAGGAGCTTTTACAGATAAGGATGTAACAGTTACAGGCATTCATTCTTATTACTCAGGACAAATGAGGGAACTAAGGCACAGAGAAGGTAAGTATTTAAGCTTAGGTTACACAAGATTCAAACCAGGGATGTCAGGCTCCAAATTCTGTGCTGTCACATGCCATGATGCCTGTCCCCAAATTACACAAGAGAAATTTTTCTGTAGTTTTATTTTATGAAAGACAAAGCAAAATAGAGGATTTAAAGTTTCATTCCAGTAACCACCAGACTGTTTCTACCTCATTTACAAGTTATTTTATACTTAGCTTTCAGAAACACATTGTGTGGTTATACTGACCTTTTTTCAAGTCCAAAGAACAAGAACATATTACAAATTTATTTTAAACAAGTCTTAGAATCAGTATTAAACTGGGAAATGAAGTCATCTATTGAAAAAATATTAAACCCATTTTTGGGTATTGTATTTCTTTACCTCAAACTAAAGAATTAAAGTAGAAACACATTGTTTGCTAATATTTTTAAAACTATGTCCAAATACCAATTAGTTTGGAAGGTCTTGAAAGTTAATGAGCAAGCTTGTCTTTTTCCATTACTTCACCATCACCTAACTGCAACACCCTTTCAAAAAACATCATTAGTGAAATTTTGGACAATAAAAAGTAAAAAACTATATTGTTAGCAGAAGAGACAACAAAATGTTAGAAAATTCGTAAACACAGATTTATTCAGGAAATACAATGACCAGAGTCCTTGATATTCAATGATCATTCCACACTATAAAATACATACAAGTATTCTCTGAAGTCTACATCAAGTCATGCTGACATTCTTTTCAGATAAGCCCTAGCCATCTCTATTAAATGCCATTATATCCATTTATGTTGTAAACAAAGTATTTAAAGCCAAACTACTTAAGTACTCAAGCAAAATAACTCTAAAATTTAGAAAAGGAAGACAATGATATTTTAAGAAATATCTGAATTATCAAACCCCAAATAATTAAGCCATTATAATCTAGTATTACACTAATGGATAAAGTGGTCATCTTAAGACATCAATGATGTATTTCTCATCTGCAATTTCTAAACATGCTTTCTCAAATAATAAACATTTATTTAAGTTTTAAAGGCACGGGGGGGTGGGGGGGCAGAAAGGTGACAGACATTAAAAGTTTACTCTTAAATTACTGGCAAATTTTATTTTAAAAAAATGAAAAGGTAGACTAATTACTTCCTAAATAAGGAATGTCAAGTCTTTCATTACTAAAGAAATTACTAAGAAATATAACCAATTACTATATTTGCAGCTACAAAATGGTATCTATAAATTCAATCATTCTATTCTGATAGTTCCAAACAGAGCCCAGTGTAATTACAACATTTTATAATGAGGGAAACTAGTGGTCCTCTACCCTACATGTCCTTTAGAACCACCTGGAAAGCTTTAAAAAATAAGCACCTAGACCCACCTCAGATAGTCTGATTTAGTTGGTGTGGCACAGAACTCATTTTTTAACGTTCTGCAGGGTGTTCTAATATGCAGCTAAGGTTGAGAATCAATCAACCCATTTTTAAATATGAAGAAAATAAATGGAAATTGGAGGTGGAGGCTAATTTTATTTTAAAAGTAAAAAACCTACTATATACTATGTGCCTAATTATATTCATGAATTATACATTTATTTATAAAACAAAAATTCCCTTCATTTCCTCAATATACTAGACCAGTATTGTGCATCTTTGCCACTGAATGACTGATTTTTCAATGGTCAGGATTTAAAATTCTGGGATATACTGTGAAAACTTCATTAATGAAAACAAACTACTGCTACTCATGCTCAACAGTAGCACACAAAATTACTGTATTTGGCTCCTTTAGGCTATCCTTATTTTAAGAATTATAAATAAGTGCCAACCCACACAAAGAACAGATTGTGGATTACTGTAGAAGAAAAAAAACCCAGCTTACTCAACTTACTAAGTTTCAACACCAAAAAAGATTTAACTTGGCTGAAAGTTCTGAAACAGCTGAGATACTGAACCAAGAAGCTATAATTTATAATGAAATGTTGACACACCCTTAAAAGCTACTGCAGCTGTAGCTATGCTAAAATAAGATTTCTTCAGGGTTTACTTACTCTATAATGCAAGAACACAAGCATAACAATATTATTACTGCTTTTATATGCACCAAAACCTCTCTTTAATATATAGCTCTACAACAAATACTTCTAATAATGTTACAGTTAAATTAGGTCCATACTACTTCTATACTACTTTGGTATCAATGTTTTAAAAACATCAATTTTGAAAACAGACACTTTTACAACATGATCCTATCAATAAAAGCATATTTTGTAGTGGACTAAAGACACATTCAACCATGCAATCCAGTGTTCAATACCTAAATGATAAATAACAAATCTGATTGACTTTATTCTGAAAATCACTGAAAACTGGAATAATCTTTTAAGACTCACAGTAATCACAAACATGCAGAAAAAAATATGCATTTCTATTCTTCCTGAAGTAATGTTACAAAATACCCACTTTTTACACAGGGTCAATAATTATGCTAAATTCCTTACATATTTCAATCCATTATTTTTGTCACTTAAAAAATTTTTAAACCATACAAATATTCCTGTAAATTGTGACTGAAAATGAACCTCAACTCTTTAATTTCAGCCTTCAAAGATCTCAGTCACAGTAAAACGCTGAATAGCTGCCTTTCAGTAAAATAGAGACATCCAGTGGACAAATGGAAGAACATCTTGTAATTCCCACCATCATATTTGAATCATTGAAACGAAGATCACATCTCTAAATCCAACAATTTTAATATGGAAAAGTTCCTACTCATTTTGACAGAGTCTGCAGATTCTTATGAGTACATCACCTCATAATTTCTATGTATCTTAAATATATTCTATCTTCTTCCTATTAAAATAAATTTTTAGAATCAAGTTAGTAAGAGTTGTGTAACTCATGAGGCTAGTGAGGTCAAAGGTTTTACTTTTCCTTCTTTGTTTCTGCTATTCCCCACCACTGGGAAACTGGCTCATCTCTACAAATGGAAGTACCAAAACATAAGAAATATATTAAAATAAAAAGAATAGCATTAAGAAAATTTTCACAAGATGAAACCTGACCCTGTGATTGCATTTGTAATTTATGACATGTTGTTGAATATAAAGAGACATAATCAGTAATGCTAACAATCAAACCTCTTGCCTCATCGCTCAAACATTATGGAAGAATACATATTTAGCAATAACAGTACCAGTGTTTAAAAAGTTACTTGCATAAATCAGTATAAATGAATATTCATTATGTTTAAATAAAAGTAAAAAACTTCCACTGTGCTGAGTTATGATTTATCACTGATTATATATTATGTGTGTGTTCAAAGTACAAAATGCAGTAGTGATGTTAACAGTTATAATGTAAGGAACTGCTGTAGCTGAAGTTGGTATGTTTAATTTCTTGGAAAACCATAAAGAAATTTTCCAGGTTAAAAAAAAAGTTAGGCAAAAAAAAGAATTGGAGAACGGTTATTTTTAAATAAGGAGCCAAATGAAGAAAATCTTTTTTTCTAAAAAAAAAGATTAAGAATGTAAAAGTACATTTTAATATTAAAAAAGCATTTTTAGAAATCTATAACAATTTTATGACAAAATCTGCATTTGAAAAAGGCCTGTAAAAACAGCAGGACAGAATTGCCCTCATCACCTTTTACTTCTTATCAGAAAAAAGAGTATGTATCTCTGGAACAATAAATGATGTTAAAATAGGCATTTATAAAATGGCAAGGAGGATTTCAAGGGAAGTTTCTGTTATTTATAATCACTGGCATTGCAGCCATCAGTAGGTCACAAGGAAAACTTCTCTAGCTGAAAGCAAAATGGAATATAAAGTTTTGAACTGCATTAGGTCTGTTGCCTGCGTTTTGCAGATCTCATTTTCTCAAAGTGTGATTCCATTTCTTCTAAGACCTTGGGTGTATATCTTACTACTAATTTAACTTTTCCTTGAGCTGCTTTCAGCAGTTCTACAGCTTTTTCATGATGTTCTCCTTCAACACTCTAAGGAAAAAAAAGCACACATACATATACACAATTAGTATCTAGGTTTTGTAACTCATTCAAAATGCAAATGTTTAAAATAGATTTAAGCAAAAAATCTTTAATGTTGCATCATTCCAACACTATAAACCTATGAAATAATCCTGCTTTATAATTTCAATCAGTGTGAAATCCTCTACTGAATCATATTGTTTGTAGTCCAGGAAGTGGTTTTTAATTTCAAATAGTTATTATTCCAAATATCAATCTATATGACCTATTACTTCACTAAGTCAGAAGTAAATCAAGCAACTGCTATTCCATTAAGACTAAAATGAGGGTAGACTTCAAATTTAATGTACTACCTTACCTACCAGAAAACTGTTACTTCATAAAAATCACATAAGCACTAATTTAAATTGGAAAAGATGCAAAACACACTAAAAGTGCTGTAAAAAGTATCACTGTACCAAAACATACCACCTAGGATACCCCCAAAGGATTTTTAGACTAGAAGTTTCTTTGGTTTTTCTCCCCTACACACCTTCTGCTTCTGTAACTCAAACACACCCCCAAGTGGTTACAAGGCACTACTACAAAGAGAAGTAAGATTCATCCTTACCACTCCATTAACAGAAAGGAGTTGATCTCCTCTCTTGAGGCCCCCATGTCTATCAGCAATTCCACCTGGAATTATTCGAGATATATAGATTGGAGAGTTTTGTTCTTTGCCTCCCATAATATTGAAACCAAGGCCTTCTTCTGTTTTTGGTAGTTCAACAACTCGAGGATGTGAATGTCCTTCACTAGCAGCAAATGCAGCAACAGTGGCCTGAAAGTACATATTTTAAAATATGACCTTTGTCTACTTCAGTTATTTTTGTCTTTTTTTAAAAAACCACTTTTGAGATACATACTTTTGGTGTTTGAATGCCCACAAATCTCAATGGCAATGAGAAGGTAAGCTGAGTGGTTTTAGACAGGAAGCCTGGAAAGCATACCATGGGCCTCTGTAGGAAGTACTGAGATTATTTGGGTCACTCCTAGTCCACCCAGTGTCCAGAACTTTTGTGCAGCTCTTAGCAAGCAGGCTTGCTGGGCAGATTAACACTGGGGTACATTAAAGAGAACCCCCACCCATCCCGCCCACCCCCCTCAGCATGCCAGCAGCCCTGAGCTTGGGGCTGGATAGCCTGGCTCCTTCAGGGGCCTTTATTCAGGATACAACCTACCTACATGACACCCTATAAGGATGTACTGATCCTTATATACAGTCATTTGAGCTGCTGTACTATCTGTACTATATACAACATGGGTTTGAACTGTGCAGGTCCACTTACATGAGGATTTTTCTATAAATATATTAGAACACTTTTTGGAGATCTGAAACAATTTGAAAAAAAACACCTTTTCTCCAGCTTACTTTAAGAACACAGTATGTAATACATATGACATACAAAGTATGTGTTCACTGTTCGTTATTGGCAAGACTTCTAGTCAACAGTAGACTATTAATAGTTAAGTTTTTGGGAGTCAAAAGTCATACATGGATTTTCAACTGCAACAGAGTCAGAACCCCTAACCCCTACATTGTTCAAGGGTCAGCTGTGTTAAGTAACTAACTCATCAAGAAATAACTCAGTATTGAGAAAAAGAGGGCTACATATAGTCAGCATGCTTTTTTATTGCTTTAATCATATACCGAGTTATTACTAAAACCCCACAGAGGATGAAAGAGCGACTTTCTTAGGACTTTCAAATTTAGACTAATCTAGGCTAATTCTAACATAATGTTGAGATTTTTTTTTAAATTTTGCTTTTAAAGGTAACTAAGTAATCTGGTACCATTTTCATGATGGATTAGGATGCATGAACAAAAATGGGAAGGGAGAGAGGAAGAAAATAAGATTTATTGAATACTGCTAAGTTCCAAGCTCCAAAAGAGGCCCCATGATGGAACTAAGGCTCAGAAATTCAATAAGCTATGAAGGACACACTACTCAAGAGTTAAAGCCAAGTTTCTATGTTTTTTTTTTTTACACTGTTAAAATATACCCATGTCTAAGTGTTTATATTCAACACAAGATTCAGTTCCTGTTGGGAACCAGATAATTTACCTTCTAATGACTAATTCTAGTATAAGTCACCTACTGCTGATGTTAACTTATTCTAACCACAAATGATGCACATTGATGTCAATGCTGGAATTATCTGAGGAAAATACTGTTACAGAAAAGCACATTAGGCCCTACCACCTAAAGCTCTGATGAGCTAACTGACTACTGACATTACCCTTCATTTGAAGAGCTTAGGTAAAGGAGAAAGCAAAGAGCAATCTGGGGAAGTACCTGAGATCTACGTAATTTACTATATGTGTGGTTTGAGACAAATAACCTAATCTGATGCTTCCTCAGCAATAAAATGAGGATAATTCATACCTTGGAATTTTGATGAAAATTTACATAACTAATGATATAATATGTATATGGTATATAACAACTATATATTTGTGTGCAAGTGTTTTTAATGCATAATGTAAATTGCATAATAGAATACATTTTGTTAAGTCAATTAAAAAAAGCCCTGTTTTTTAGTACTTGAAAAGTGTGGTATATTTTGAAAGATACTATGTTGTTTTTCAAATAAGCCTATTGTGAATATAATAACTGCAAATTTAAACCTCTCATTTATGAAGAATTCTCTCACTCTTAGTAAATGAAAAAGTTTACCTTTGCAGTTGCATTAGCTCTCACTTCAGGGCTGCTACTGATGTCCACAGTCTCATAGACATGTTCATAAACCTGTAAAACCCAAAGTTATCACTGAAAAAGTTTAAATTTCAGAATATAGCATGTTTGAGTTCTATGTGAAGTTTAGAAATGTGTTAAAACTTTAGGCAAAGTCACGCATCTTTGTAAAATGATTTTCTATTAGAAATTCCGAAAATGAGAGGCAGGTTCTAATGTTTTTCTAAAATTTGTTTTCTTAAGAAATTCTGAACCCAAATTTCAGAGTATTCTCTTACCTAATTAACTCAAGTTTTTAGTAAATGTTAATTCCATCTACTCACCTCTCTTACAGCATTGCAGAATTCACTTTGAAGAACTCTTTGTAAAGCCTGAAGTTTCTGGGGTGGTACCTCTCCACTCCTTTGCAATTTTTCCAACAACTCAATTGCTCTACAAATATCTAGAGTTAAACAAAAACACTCTGAAAAACAATTTTCTCTGAAGATTCTCTAAATGTCTATGTAACAGTGTAGCGGTTATAATTCATTACTCAAAGACTAAATAGAAAAATGTAGAACACAGTGCAGAAACAAAAGTGTGAGCTCTTGTGGAGGGGAGGGTGTGTTTGAATACACATATAAGGGGTGGGAATATGAAATCATATAGGAATGCTAAATTTTACAGTACATTAGGAAGAAATACTGATGTTGCACACATGCAAAATCTGGAAAATAGCATCTCTGAGGGACAGAAAAATTTAATATAAAATACTAAATGTCACAAGAAAGGACTGGGGCTCAAGTGTCATAAGACACATAAACATTGTATTGCTTCAGAAAAACTGCAAGTATCACTAGGAACTATTTAGTAAATAAAAATTTACATATATTAATCAAAGCACTTAAGAGTACAAACACTGTGTGCTGGTGAAATTCCTCATTTCCCGAAGTAAAACAAACTATATGTGTAGATACAAACTGTTCAATAACATGCAGTTAGTGGCAGAGACACATTTAAAACAATGGTACAAATGAGTAAAATCAGTCTGTTTTCAACTTAGGATCACTAACACTGTTTTAAGACAAGGTCAATCAAATACATATGTTTACAAAATAGAAAAACAATCAGTTTTGTCTGGTCTCAATGCTAGCTGTGTGATCTTGGGCAAGATCCCTGTCTCATTTTCTCCACTGCAAAAGGGAAGTAACAGTACCTCCTTTATTATTATTATCTGACGATTAAGACAAAATGCAAAATACATGAAAAAAGGCCTGGCATGTATCAAGCACAAATGTTATGTTACTTCAGCACTAATTAATCATAAGAAATATTAAGGGGTCTGACACACTTACACAAACATATTAAGCAAATTAGGCAATTCTCACTGAGGAGTGAGAGGATAAGTGTTTTATGAATTAAGAAATTTTGTAAGAGTCAGAGTTAAATTGAAACAGTTAATGACTATCTCTACTTTTATTTTTCTTAACTTTTCATACCCCAGAGGGCTCCAGTACCTATTATCCTACTATTCCTTGCTTCCTTTTAAGTGGAGTAAGTTCTGAATTTTTTATTACACCAGAGGACTGGAACTTAAAAAAAAAATAGAATTAATACAGCTTTGTATTTGTAGCTGGAAAACTAGGATTAAATGTAGTGAAGAAAAAAATAGACTTTTCAATTTCAGGTAATAAAAGCTTAAACCGATATTAATCAAATGCACTGATAACAAACGTTCCCCATTCTGCTGTCCCAACAATACAATGGCTGGTGCATGGGGACAGCTGGTTCATCAGTTATTTTGATATGCAAAGTTACAATATGTAAGCTACACAAAAATTCACAATTAACAAAAAATGGAAAAAGTAAAATACTCTTTACTGAACCTAAGCTGTACCTAATATGTGCTCAAATGTGTTCCACTGAATCATGTTTTGATGATTTAGAAGGCATATGCGATCTTGAGCACATGCATTAATTTTATACGCAGGACCACTGGGAGTTTACTAGAGTTTGTTGAACACAATCCTAAATAAGAAACAGCTGATATGATCTGACTTTGTAATGACGTTACATTGTAATTTGTTCTGTAACATGCTAAATAGCATCCTCTAGTAATTCATTCTACTAAGGTGCTGTGCATTTTACTGTGGAACTGACAAGAACTCTGAAACAGCAAAAACCAAAGCCATGTCCAACAAGGCTAACTGCCAGGGGTGAGACTAACTGCCAGAAAAACCCCTACTCCTGTTAACATTTTTGTTCCCATGGACGCTCAGTGCCTTTGTGATTCGAATGAAGATATCACAGTCTTAGGCCTAAGTGAGTAAGTCTTCCCAGAGTAGCTAGCTACTCCTTATCAAAAATACTTTAGTCAATAGTTTGGGGTGCTGCAGGGAAACAATGTCATAAATAAAGAGGCTTGCACACAGTACAACATAAAGAATAAAATGTGTTCAGTTCACATTTGTGTGAAGATATGAGGAAAGAGGTTTCTCTCAATACAGTAATTCTAAAAATGTACTCCCTTCTTAGAGCAGAAGTCACTAATATTTGGACTGTAACTGCAATGTTAATATTTGCAAGACATTTTCAATCTCCCTCCTATACTTTACTACTAGTACTACTCAAAATGTTTAGTTTGTACTTCTTGACTCTTACCCAAACTTCTAATATGTTGTGTCAAAAGCCTGCTTGGGATTGTTTGACATGAAGGGTTTGGGGAGGAATGAGCAGAATGGTGAAAATCTGAAACAGGATCCCGCTAAGGGCAGAACCACGTATTTTCACTGACTTTTCTGTCTCTCAATAAACTCAGGACAACAGATTTTATTTCTCTTGACAGCCTACTTTAAAAGGCAAGCAAGCCGCCAGTTAGCAGTTGTAGTATGTAAAGAAGGAATAAAACTTCCGAGTATTTTACAATTCACCACTATTCCAGCTTGTTATGTAACCTTCTTCCCAAGACCAAAGCAGTAGCACTGTTTTTTTTTTTTTATTTTAGCTTCTAAAGTCTTTATATTCATCCCGTGGAATGTAATAGAGCCATGAAAGCCATCTGCAAAAATTAAAATAACATGAAAAAATAGTAGCACTGTTTTTAAAGCACCTTCTCCATACCGGGTAGGGGCACCAAAGCCAGGAAATACCCCAACACAAATACAAGTGATGTGATGAAGGCGACGTTAGAGTCTGTGCGTGAGGACGAGAATTTAGGAACGTGCTGCGCGCCCGGGACGTGAGCGCTGTGTGAAGGCGGGGACCCGGGGCTCGTGCGCGGTCTGTCGGTCTGGGCGCGTGGGGCTTGCCTCCCCGGACCACACGTCCTGAACGCCGTGTCCGCCCCGCGCTCCCAGGGAGCGCCCATGAGCGCGGGCAGGAAAGGTCTCGCCGCGCTGTGCCCCAGGAAAGCCCACGCGAATAGAGGAGGGGTCTGGGTGGCACTCAGGGCACCACCGTAGGCGCCCTCCGGGGGTCGGCCCCGCGCGGCGACGTCGGTCACCGGCTCCAGCGCGAAACAGCCTGGCACCGGCTCTCGCAGCCTGAGTCACCTTCCTCTCCTCCGGGGACACGGCACTCCTCCACCCCCTCCGCCCACCTCGGTCTCAGCCTCAGCTGTACTCACCCCGCTCCAGCCGCACGGGTTCCCCCAAGGCCGCCATCTTCTCCCTTCGCCTGCAGACCCACAGGAAATGACGACAGACGCTCTACAGGCGGAAGGGCGGGGCCCGGCGGGTGGAGAAGCGGGCGGGGTTGGCGCCCCCCGGGAGTCGGGAGGGCGAGGCCTGGCTGGAATCGCGAGAGCGGGATGGGCGGCCCCAGGCCTGCGGGTGAGGATGCTTGCTGAAAGCTGGCCTTCCTCTGCGCTTCCAGAAGTGCTGAGGTTCCTGATTACTACTGCATCTCAGGATTGAAAAATTCCCCTTTTCCGACTCTGGTTCCCCGCCCCGGGATTCAAGCCTTATGTAACAAGATCCCTTTTGGAACCCTAGACTCCATGTGGAAAAGTCCCGATTCTTGCCCCAACTTGACCATTAATGGCTCTGTGAGCCTGGACTGCTCACTTAATCTCTTTCGGCCTCACCTCACTTTTCCCAGCTGTTCAGCCAAGGGTCCAACTCTTAGGACCTTTCCGTTCTTGAGCTCTGGGTTTGGTAACAACCAGGTGTGTGAGATATTGAGATACTGTAAATACTCCTTTTTGTAGCAGCTTTGCTTTAATTTAAAAAATCAAGGCATGAATCTTTCCTACAAATCTGTTTGAATAAGGATGGAAAGTACAAAAAGCATGGAATGCACCTGGGTGAGTGAGAGAACAATGCATTTTGGTGCTCTACAAAGTAACGGTTTTAAAACGATGACCTTACATAAATGAAATATTCTTAGGGCCACTTAAAAAATTCTCGTGAATAAAAACTTTAATTCTAAATTGAAAGAAAAATTTAATTTGCCCAGTATTTAGATTACACAATCATTTATTCAAGCCCTAGTCTATATTTAACTACATGTTAGATGTTTTCATATAAAAATTTTCAACACTTCAAAACAATTGTTTTTAACAACCTCCTGGTTGCCTCGTCCCTCCTCCCCCTGCCCCCAACCCCTTTTTCTATTCAACTATTTTCTTTAATCTGTCATGAATGTCACCACTATACTCTTTTGTTTTTCCCCCTTGAACCCAGATATTGCCTTAAAAAAGGCTTCTGTTCAGAAACTTCCAATGGTTTCTCCTGTTTCCTATTTCTAAAGCCATGCATACTCTGACCAGTAACTCATCCATCTAACCTCATTTCTCATTATCCCTCAAGTACAATCACCACGCCAGTAACCCAGATATTGCCTTAAAAAAGGCTTCTGTTCAGAAACTTCCAATGGTTTCTCCTGTTTCCTATTTCTAAAGCCATGCATACTCTGACCAGTAACTCATCCATCTAACCTCATTTCTCATTATCCCTCAAGTACAATCACCACGCCAGTCAAAACCAGTCAAAACCATGTTTTCTTTCTTCCAAGTCTTCATTTATGGTGTTCTTAGAATGACGTTTTCTTCTCTTGCAATTCTCCAAACTGTATACACCAGCCAGGTGAACCTGTCCTCTGCATCTGCTGAAGACGTGCCATCTCTACTAAGCTTCCCTTTCTTCATGCTGATATTTGGTTCCTGATGGCCCTTATACCCTGCAGTGGCACTCATGTGCTTATCTCTTACTCATTGTTTAGCCACAAATATGTCCAAGAAATGTTGATTGAATACCTAATTGTCTACCAGGTGCCTTGCTAGGCACTGAGACTATCATGTGGAACAAGAGAAATGCAGACATTGCCCTTATTTCTTCAAATATTTTTGTCTTTCCCCATCTTCCAGCTCCTTTAATGACTGTTTACATGTATATTCCACTGCCTGACATTGTCTCACAGCCCACTACTCTGTTCATTTAGTTTTTTTCAAGTTTTTTACTGTTTCCTTTTTTTGATATCTAATACTCTCTTAATCCCAATAGTTCATTTTTCATGTGAGACATTATAGTTTTTACCTCTACCACTTTGATTTAGAGATGTGGGTGTGTTTCTACATCTACCATATCCTTAACATGCTTCATCTTCCCTCTAGCCTCCTGAACATACAGAATACAATTATAATGACAATTTTAATGTTGTTGCCTACTAATTCTTTGTTATTTCTTTTTCTATTGATTGATATTTCTCTTCATTATGGTTCATAATTTTCTGCTTTCATGACTGGTAATGACTGGTAATAATTGGTAGTGACTGGTAATTTATATGGGATGCCAAGCACTGTGAAATATGCCTTTTTGGAGTGCTGGATATTTTTATATCTCCATAAATATTTTTGTGATCTCTTTTGAAATGCAGATAGGATTTAAACAATTTTTGTCCTTTTGAGACTTGATTTTAACCTTTGTTGGGTAGAACAGGTTCAGCCTTTTCTGTAGGGCTAATTGTATTCCACTACTGAGGCAATACCTTTCTAAGTTCTTTGGCCCATCCCCCAGAATATGTGTTTCTATTCTGACTGACAGGAACAAGAACTATTCTCATTAACTGAGACTGTGGATTGTTTACTTTGCTCCTTTGGAGTGATCCTTTTCCTGTCCTTGGTAACTTCTTAACACACATAACCATCATAAAGATTTCATAATTCCAAGGATAAAAGTAAAAGATCCTAAAAGTTTTCAGAGAGAATGAAAATAATAAAAATACATATTTTAAGGATTTTAGGAATCAGAATAATTATAAATCATTAATTATTTGAAACAGGGAAGGAAGAAAAATGTTTTAGGAGATACTTCTGAGCTGGGAAAATATGATTCAATTAACTAACAATCCATTTGTATTCAAAATAAATAAAAATCAGTGATTGTATAAGGAGAGATCCCCTAAAATGTCACTCCCTAATTCACAAATCCTTGAGTTTCACAGTTAGGAGAGACCTGGAGGTCCAATTCCTTCCCTTCACATGAGAGAAACTGGTTGCTGTCCCACGTCTCCAAGCAATTATGACCATGCATGAGGCAAAGATGCTGTTGATTTTTTGCCTCTGTCAGGTTATTGCATCACCAGACTTCCTAATCAAGAATTTCTCTCCCTGTGGAAGAACTTCTCTTCACTTGTTGCTTCCTCATATTACTTCCTGCCTCAGCGATGAAGAGGAACTCTCAAATTAGAATAGGAAGTCTGACTTCAAGCTATACTACAAAGCTACAACAATCAAAACAGTATGGTACTGGCACAAAAACAGATCCATAGAACAATGGAACAGAATAGAGAGCCCAGATATAAATAGACACATATATGGTCAATTAATACATGATAAAGGAGTCATGAATATACAATGGGGAAAAGACAGCCTCTTCAACAACTGGTGTTGGGAAAACTGGATAGTTACATGCAAGTTAATGAAACTGGATTACTATCTAACCATACACAGAAGCAAACTCAAAATAGATCAAAGACCTAAATCAACTCATGAAACCATAAAACTTTTAGAAGAAAATATAGACAAAAATCTCTTGAACATAAACTGAGCAATTTTTTTCTGGACACATCTCCCTGGGCAAGGGAAACAATCAAAAATGAACAAGTGGGACTACATAAAACTAAAAACTTCTGTACAACAAAGGACACCCTCAGCAGAACAAAAAAACAACCTACAGTATGGGAGAATATATTTGTAAATGATTTATCTCATAAGAGATTAACACACAAAATATATAAAGAACTCCTATGCCTTTACACCAAAAGAACAAATAACCTGATTAAAAAATGGGCAGAGGATCTAAACAGCCATCTTTCCAAAGAAGACATACAGATAGATGACGGCCTCATAAAAAGATACTCCACATTACTAATCATCAGGGCAGTACAAATCAAAACCACAATGAGATACAACCTCACACTAGTTAGAATAGCCACTATCCCAAAGATAAAAAAACACAAGTGCTGGCAAGGATGCAGAGAAAAAGGAACCCTCCTACATTGTTGGTGGGACTGTGAATTGGTGCAGCCACTTTGGAAAACAGTATGGAGGTTCCTCAAAAAACTAAAAACAGAAATACCATATTACCCAGTAATTGCACTTCTAGGAATTTACCCAAATTCTGAATTCATGATTGCAAAAGATTTATGCACCCCTATATTTATGGCCATATTATTTACAATAGCCAAGATATGGAAGCAACCAAAGTGTCCATCAATAGATGAATGGATAAAGATGTGGTACATATACACAGTGGAATACTATTCAACCACAGAAAATAAAGAAATCCTGACATTTAAGACAACATGGATGGAACTAGAGGGTATTATGCTAAGTGAAAAAAGTCAGGCAGAGAAGGACAAATACTATGTGATTTCACTTGTTTGTGGAATCTAAAGATAAAATGAACAATAGCAGTAGACTCAGAGACACTGAGAAGTGACTGGTGGTTAACATGGGGGAGGGGTTGGGGTGAGTGTGAGGAGGATAAAGAGGCACAAAAATTCTCAAACATAGTATAAGTTGGTAGTACATCATGGCGAATATAGCCAGTTATTCTGTAGCATCTGCCTATGTTGACAGATTGTAACTGCACTACTTGGGGTAAGGTTTTAATAATGTACATAACTGTTGAACCACTGTGTTATATAACTGTGTGTATAAACTATACTTCAACTAAAAATAAAAGAATAGGAAATGTGAGTCTAGACAAATTCCAATGAAAGCTAAATTATACAAATTTAGTCTTTGTATAAGAAATGAAAGTCCCAAGTAGGCCTCCAGGATATGAAACTTTCATAACTCATACATATCAAATACAATGTATTAAGATAGCATCAATTAAGAAACAAAGGGGATGGATGGGAAAACTGAGGGTAGGAGGTTGTCTAGGGAAGCTAGGAATATGTAAGGTAGTATAAGGAATCCAGACACTCTGAGTGAAATGCTTATTATTCTACTGCCTGTCAAGTCATACACAAATAGGCACTACTATATAGAATAGACAGTTAAAAGTTATAGTCCTGTTACCAAGTAACACATTACTCTTCAGTGAAGTTCCTATCAGTACAATTAAAGCCTCAGTCTTCTTTCATTTTTCAACAGTTTCTATAATATACTCCTCAGAAAAGTAAAATTTTAGATAAATGGCTTCCTTTATTTGAGGTGAATGATACTGTCAAGTGTGAAACACC